CGCGTATTCCATCTCACACTCTTTAATAACCAGCTCAAGATATGCGCAAAAATTTGATGACGTAACTCTTACTGATTTCAATATTTCAGGCAGGATGTACACAACCAGTGAGAATATAAGTGTTGTCGTTTCTATGGCATCTGTTGCTCCAAAAATGAGACGCATATCAGTACAGTCTTTATCAAAGAGATCTTCAAGCCATTTGATACTGACTTCAACTTCTGTTGTATTCTCTACAGATCTTAAAAGAAACTGACTCAGTTTGTGTGTGATATCAGAGAAACCTTTTCCCAGCGATGGCTTGCTTTCACATTCTTCCTGATTGTATCTTGCAATGGTGAATAGTGCATGGGAATAAAAGGTTGTCGACTTTTCATTGTAAAGACGCTTCTTCTCATGCTGTAGTAGAATATATTTCAGTGTTCTCAGTACAATATGATAACCGTCTATTCTTGAAGCTCGCAAATGAGGTTTCTCATAGTATGATTTTATCCAGCCATGTCCCATGTCCAATGCCATATAGAAGCTGTCCTCTGAATAGGGCAGTTCGGGTATATTGATTATCTTCAGACAGAATGTCAGGTCCATGTCTGTTACACACAATGGTCCCCACACCCTGAAGCGAAGGCTGGGCCCATGCGCTCTTTTGTCAATAATGACGTCATGCTTTCGCAGTTGAATTGATTCGACGGGCAGCTCTTTTTCCAGATCTGTAATTCCCCTGAGGGTTATGGCACCTTCCATGTGTAGTTGTGATAAACATTCTGCAACAGCTCCACGAATGATCGACTGAATTATATACCCTGTTTTGAGTGCAGTGTTTGGTTTTACCATCTCGGGGTACTCTTTGATGAGATCTAATACATCGGGATGTTGTTCATTGGGTAGTTTTACGTCTAATTTACCAGGTATGTAATACTTAGCTGTACTATCACTGGGATAGACCACTACTACATATCTAGAGAGAGCCATTGGGAGCACAAAATCACATTCTCCAGGAGTTAATATTTTAGTCCTGTTGGACATGCTTCCATTAAGAAGAACATCATCCACTGCCAACTGTGGGTACATTCTGTTGAATTTATCAATGATTGGTTGTATAATTCGAGTCTTGATATACTCTATATGCCCATCAAGTTCCGCCGTGTTATGTTTCAGTTTAGCCAAGTTGTGTATTTCTGCTACATTGTTTGATAATTGTTGGTCCTCGAGTTCAGAGAGAGTGCCCTTGATTAAGGGGATTGTTTTTATAGGAGGACTCCGCCATCTTGTATGGACCTCAGGACTGCTACTTGTACCGGCTTCCATGGCTAATGGTCAAAATATCCGATTTGGCACACAAACTATGCTGATCAGGATGAATAATTCAATCGCAATAATTAATTGTCCATGAAGCGTCATCATCATCGGTTAGTAGGATTTGGTTCGAAGACGAACGCAATACCAGGAAGGTATATGCCCCTGTGTGAAATTCACTATCTGGACGACTACTGTTCGTGTATTTAGTAGAATTTTTCGATCAGGGCGCCAGTTGCTTGCTCCTTGGTATTGGATCAGAGGGGGAGAAACACCAGAGTTCAACTCTTGGGCTTTCCCTCCTCTTGTATTGGATACATAGTTTTATTGTAGTATTTCACATAAGCCATTGGCACAGGATTTCATTCTGTATTTTCATTAACTATCATGTACATTGACAGGTGTAGCTCTCAGAGTTGACACGACATTTAAGATAATTCGTTGTCAATCGTCATATCTCATGCTTACATCACGCGTGTACACCGGAAACTACGACCGTCGAGGTCCAAATATAAGTAACCTTCATCGATTATAGCCTGTTGCAGTATCTCGATGCCTGGAAAGTCAGCATAACCTGTTCAGTTTATTAAATCAATACACCAAGTAAAACATTTTTAGCTATTTTAGCGACAGCCTCTTTTTACTGCAATGAATAAAACTTTAAAAGTGAAAGAGCTTTTCTTCAAAGGTAACTTTTGAATACTACACGTGCTCTATACATTTAATTTAATACAAAATTCATTGCACAAAATAAGTGCATATATTAGTAAACAGGTTGACCTGAATGGATTTCAACTTAAGACTCTAGATCCTCATCTTTGATTTCCTTAAAGACCTTATTTGACAGGTCTTATTTCATCACATTTAGACAAAATGAACATACCTCAAATGGCTAAGCAAAGGTCTAACACTTGCAACTGTTCAAAGAGTACTATGTATATATGAGCCAGATGAATCCTGTTAAAATCTCGAGTAAGGATCAACTGCACGCTTTGTAAAAGTGAATAAGATGTGTCTTACGCGCGTTCAAACCTAAATTACGTAAGACTTCAGGCCCTTAGCCAGGGGGGGGGGGGCAAAATGTCTTTTCAAAATCTTGCAGTTTTTCACCATTCTGACTATTTTTTGAGTGATTTTTGGCAATTGCCAAAGTGAACCCCCCTAGAATCTTTTGGAAAAGTGAACCCATCCCCTTGGAAAATTCTGGCTACGGGCCTGGACTGAAACTCAATGTGCGTTCATTTACACCCTGTATCCAGTTTGTCGATCAGTAAATGGTGTCATATGCCAGAATTTACGTCTTAACGTCTAGTATAGGTTTTTAAAATATGAACAAAAATAAAATAAAAACAAATGGAAGCATCAGAATAAAAATTCTTCATTGCCAAGATATAAGAAGGGAAACTTATATAGAGCGAAGCACTCATATAGATGGAAGTTCATTCACACATAGCTAGGCAAGGTGTGTCAGATTACAGCCAATCCAAACGCTGTATTTCAGATAACTGCACTGCATTATATCACCAACCACTCCATCCAAGGTCACTCCTTGTGTAGTTGTCAAGGTGAAAACTTAACTCCAACGACTGAAATTGATGCTTTGCCAAACGGGCCCATGCAACCAGACTCCTATTGTTACTACAATTTATTGGCTGCATAATAACAAATTGTAACCAATAAAAGCCAGAGTTACCGAGAGCCTGGTTGCAGTTTACACACCTCGTTTGCCAACCTGACCTTTGCAAAAAGTTTCATTGACAATGTGTTCTTTTAGTGATTCCGTATCTTTTAAGTGACATAGTAGAGAATATTTTGCAATGTGTGAAAAGAATTTAAGCCCAAGACTCAATGCAGTGTGGAATGACCATTCCTTTCAGTGGTTATTGAACACTCGATGTTGCGCATCTCGGGCAAATTTCGGAAAGCAACACCTTCATGCAATGGTCATTCCACAATGCATTGAGTCCAAGGTTTTTAATTTTAAATAAGTACGGACGATGAATACAATATACTTGTACTATCTTCACAATTGTTTTTGCGCTGTGAAAGCTGTGTGTTAACTTTAAGGTGAAGTGTGGGTCTTTCATATTTTGTCAGTATATCAACAGCAAATAAAATGTAAACAACTCTGAACAATAAAATCTAAAAGATTTATACTTTTTAATGCTTTGTGGAATATTATTACCACCTTGCCGGGCCAGTTCTAGGGGTTTTAGTGCTAGTTTAGAAGGCATTCATTTTACTATATCGACCTGAAAAATGTGTGACGTCATAGTGGTGGTCCATATGGACCGGTCTAGAATATATTTTGGACCGGCAATTTTGCCCGGGAAATTAGATATCGTTCAATGCGTAAGGTTTTCTTGCTGTTTCAGTCCTGGTCGTTAACGGTGGTAATAATACTAATAACGTCATTTCTGCGAGCAATTTAGTGAAATATTGGACCTTGGACCTTCGGCCCTCGGTCCAATATTTCACTATATTGCCCTTAGAAATGACGTTATTGTACTATTATCACGTCTGCCCAGGTTATAACTCAAAAACAGGTTGACTGAATTGGTCAAACTTTTTAATATGGTGTCATATCACGTCATTGGTAGTATTTGCCAAAATGAGACAATACACCTGTATCACAGGCGGATCCAGAAGTTAACAAGGGGGGGGGGGCAAAACTTTTTTGATTCGGGATTTTTTTTAATTTGGAGGCCCTCCTTTGATTATTTGGCCTTAAAATGCCAAATTATGCCCATAAAGACCTTTTTGAGGCCCAACACATTTTTACGGGTCCAAAAGATTTTCGGGCCTTAAAAAAGTTTTCTAGGCCCACAAAAAGAGGGGGGACGGGCCCCATACCCCCACCCCCTGGATACGCCAGTGATAATATCATGAAAATTGATAAAAATAAGCAATTTGGCGAACTATATTTTTTATTTGATTGTGGTTCTAGGAGATGCTTTTTTCAAGTGTCCATTCATTGCAAAGTTCCTAATGTTATGCTAATCTTAAGTTTAAATATACATAATATTAAGAAATATTAAGATATATCCATATCATAAATGAATAAAAATTGAATATGAGAGCATCATTCTCCGATCACAGAGCTTCAAAATCCAGAATATATTCTTTCTTTTTATCCCCTGCGATAAGCAGTTAGCATTTCCCCAATTAAGTACTCGCAATCTGATTGGCTGTCGCAACACTGCGATAGAAATCATGTATAAGTCATTGCGCATAATTAGATCACGTGATTTAGTTTAATCGGGCGCTTCCAAATTGGTTATAGCAGGGGGGAAAGAGGAGGTACGGATTCTGGATACCTGCTTAGAAGGATGGAGAGCATGGACTAAGATAAAGTATATGGTGCAACTTAAATTAATGTATTGGTGAATCCAAAATAACTGTAAACATGTACAAAACTATACATTTACATATCTAGAATCTACAAAACTATCTGATGTTTATACATTATCCTGTTAAATTAAGGGTGTTATACTGACTTTAACTCTTCAAAATGCAACAAAACATATTTCACTTCCGCGCAGAATTCATCAACAATACCAATATTACTGATTTTGTTCCAAAACAATATAGGTATGTTTAGCAGTGATATCCACTGATAAGAATTCACTAGCTATAGATAAATGTTTGTCCAAGCTTTTCTCAAGATATTTATTTATTTTTGAAGTTCCATACGATGATCCTTGTCATGCCGTTTTGTCAACAAAGCCCTCATCATCGATTGGACTTCTGAAAATAAAAGTACAATACTAGATAGTAATTAAGGCATGATAAACAATTTTATCGCGTAAATGAATTACATTTATGGGGATATTCACATACACGATTTTATTCACACCATCAGGGACGGATCTATAAATTAACAAGTAGTTTTAAAATTTATTTTGAAAAGGTCCCATTCTCTTGACGTTTTGTCCTTAAAGGCAGAATCAGATCTATATGGGTGACAAAATTACAAGCAACATGTACAATTGACCCACCAATATATTCCTTACAATCTCAAATACAATATCTCCCAAAAGATTCGTGATATGTTATAAATTGACGAAGTTATTACGGATTCAATGTGCAAAAATAGGTGGAAAATGTTTAAATTCTCCCAAATAATAAGAATGGTAACCATTCTTATAGAAAAATAATATATTATTGTAAAAATCTCGAGTTTTCCTGAAATAAAGTGTGCACTTTTTGGATTTTTAGAAAATAGACATGACAAGGAATGGCATGAGCCAGAAATATTCTAAAATTGAAACAATTTTTTGTTTGCCTGCTCGCTATATCTGATTCTCTCTTTAAATTAGAGATAAGGCCAAATAATACCAACAAGGCCCATCTGGGGTCCTAAAAAATGTCGGCCTTAAAATAAAATGTCAAAGAAGTCCATCTAAAACATTAGGTAGTTTTGAAACAGCAGTGTACAATTATAACTAAGAGAAATCATTATAACTACTGTATGAAACAAAATATTTTAATTCTGTTGAGGTGAATACCAGTGATTATCCTACACTTAGTGTACTAAATGTATAATAACATTACAAAATAAATCTGATATTTATTAGCAAAATGAATAACCAGAGGATATAACGATATACTCCGGGCGGAGGATATCGTGACAATATACTCCGGAGAACCTAATATGCGGAGGATATTGTGACTATAGACTATACTCCGCTTGTTGATTTTCCGCCAAATTGACTCTATTTGACATGAACTTCATTTTGCAATGATAATATACATTTAGTACACTCTTTGTTAGTGTAGGATAATAAGAACATCCTATGATTTTTTCAGAATATCATTTTAATCTACTCGGTGATATTGATATATGCACTCCTTCGCTTTGCTCTCTCGTGCAGATATCAATATTAGTATTATATATTACCTAGTCGGTAAAAATGATATCCTTCAATATCATAGGATATCCTATAAATCTTTCACAAGTGATATCCACGAAGCCCAAAGTGGTAGTGGAATATCATCTTGTCAAAGTGCCACAGGTTTTCACTGGAAATTGAATTAAATATTTGTTTTATTATTCACTGTTATATTCCTAACTCACATTGATGGGAAAACAAACCATTATTGTGTAATTCTGCCGGGGGTATACAATCGAAATTACACTCGACGAAGTCGTGACTTGTGAATATCATATCACGTCATATCATGTCACGTGAAGGACATGGGCCAATTAGAAAGATAGAAATATAACAGTGATATAATCAATATGGATTGTTGTATATCATTGATAAGGTTTTAACAGAAACTATAGTGAAATCAATATTGAGAAAATGTAGGTATCAAAATGGCTGATATTACTCACAATTTCCCATTCCTCCCCATTTGCCCACTGCGTTCATTATAGGAAGCACCTTCTGTACCCATGAATATTTAGGCTTGGAATCTTCTTTTTTTTGTTCAGAGCCATCAGGAGACCCACTTGAAGTGTTTTGCCCATCTTGCGCATTTTCTTGCTCTTGCGCGTTTGTTCTTCTTGTCAGATCATTTTCATTGGCGCTATCTTCAGTATCGCTGGCTTTCCATTTGTTCACTGATTTCATCATCATAAGCAGCTTCTGTCCCCACGACAATTTAGGCTCGGCATCTGTTTGAGTATCTTGATCAATCTGCGTCTCCCCTTGTATTCGAATGGCTCTTTCCAACTCATCAAGATCTGTTCGGAAATAACTCTTTGCGTTCATTTCCCCTGCAAGAGCCACTACCAACACGGCAAATAACATCGCATTGAAATTCCTCATTCTGTCGAACTTCTTGTTGAAAACAAATTGAAACGTTCTGATATATCCACGCGTCTTTATAGCGTGAGAAGCTGTGGGTCAGTGGGGTCCCTATTTCAAACACAAGTATTTTAAAAACATTTAATGCGTTACCGAAGTGTATAAAATTTGAATCGAGTAATTTGAAAAATGCAAAATATGATGAAATAGACAGAATCGACAAATACATAGTAAGCGGACATAAAGTCATATACGTTAAAATTCATAGACCTGCGAGAAAATTCATAATTTCTCTAGGAAATGATACAAAAAGTGCAATCAGAGCGAAATTTTAAGTAAGGGCTATAATGCTTAAATTCAAATAAGCATGCCTTAAAAGGTTGGCTGGCCGCAATTTAAAGTAATCTTGACAAGGTATATCTCTTAACAATCGTTCAATGTGCAGCTTAATATTTAAAGTAGTACATTAGTGCTCGGCTCCATACTGTTAAACCAGTGCAATCCTTCAGTCATATGTAATACCCATCATCTTGCTTCATTATCATTACGCTTCGGACCTATCCTCGGTAGAACGTAGTGATTGAGCGTGGGAACCGACGATGTGTAATACCTTGATGGATCAAGATTGCTGGGCTCACATTGCGCAGATTTTAGTTTGATTAACTACTGGTGATCCACTCGATTAGGCTGGTTACCGAAACGGTTCATTTTGGTAACAAAATGTCGGAACATCGAAGGTACGATTTTTCTTTTTTCTTTATTTCACACGTAGCCTAACGTTGTAGGCAGAATTCCCACGACATTTTTATCACAAACGTGTATCAGTATCATATGTTTTAAAGAAAATGTACATATTTGCGAAGAAATAGTTCAGAAGACAACGGAATCGTCGATTTAATTACTCGCTTAAGTTACATAAACGGTATTTCGAAAAACAGTTAAGATCTGCACTTTTAACCCAAACCGTTTATGTAACTTAAGTGAGGAATTAAATCGACGATTGTGTTGTCTTCTGAGCTATTTTTTCGCAAACATATACATCTTCTTAAACATATGATACTGATATACAACGCGTGAAATAAGGAAAAAAGAAAAATCGTACCTTCGACGTTCCGACATTTTGTTACCAAAAGGGACCGTTTCGGTAACCAGCGTAATCGAGCGGATCACCAGTGTTAACAGCGATTTTGACTTCAAAACCGCATTGGTATTAATGTACATATGGAAACATATTTCAACATATTAATGCAAAACAAAGCAATATTTCCCGAACCTTTTGCTTCCGCAGCAATTTGTCTGAAAGGAAGTTACTATAAATTATGACCAAATCAAAACAATTATTCCTTTGATATGGCACTAAGTATAACTTTCCCGCGTTAAAGTGACGGCCATTTTGAAATTTTGCAAGTTTTGCCGTTACGAATTTAGAATCTCAATGGTATTATATTTGAGAACCTACCTGTAAATGTAAATGACTATCGATGAATTTTTGACGAACAATACAATATACATATATAAGAACACATCTCCGTGCAGAGACAAAAGTACAGTGGAGACGACTGTCAGGCCCGGCGCGTTGCGATGGCTGATCTGAATCTGGGGGGGGGGGCAGAGTCAGGTATTTCTCCGGTATTCACTTATCACTTATGGCATTGTATATGTTTTGAAAGAAGTGTTATGTAAGAAATATATAATGTGCATCTAACAATATGTATAACCAAATCTAAATTAACTGTAAACATTAACAAAACTAGTTTCTATTCAAAATCTAAAAAGCTATATGGTGTTTCTATACGTATGCTGCTATGCTAATGGCTTAATAATGGCTTCAGTTCTTTATAACGCGACAAAACATGTTTGACTTCCATGGATAATTAATGATCATCGACAGTATACATATTAAATTTCTCCAATGATATGTAGCTACTTTTATAAGTACAAATTCATTCATACACTTATTACTAACAAATTCACACATAGCTACGTAGGCAAGGTGTGTCAGATTCCAGCCAATAAGAACAAGCTATTTCACGTTACTGCATTTCATTATATAACAAATCACTGCATCCAAGCTCGTTCCTTGTTTGGCACTAAGTATAACTTTCCCGCGTTAAAGTGGCGGCCATTTTGAAATTTTGCAAGTTATGTCGTTACGACTTTAAAATCTCAATGGTATTGTATTGTATATTTATTGCCTCATTTATATGAAAGAATACATTTTAGTATTAATTTTACATATAAAATATAATATACAAGGATAAGATTAAATTATGTGATAAAAAGTTGTTGTTTTGGAAAACATAAAAATAAAGTGATAGAGAAATTACGTGTCAAGCAGAGCTAACAGGTTGGCTCTGTGATTGTACATTTTGTGTACAGATGATGATACAATTATTAACGTCTCACATGAAACATCTGAAAGACCTAAAACTTTCTTCATAATAACATGCATACTGTCACCACGACAGCCAAGGGCTTCAAATATGTTGTGCCTATATGACTCATACATAGGGCATCTTAATATAAAATGTTCAATTGTTTCAGTTTCACAAAGGTTACACAATATACATCGTTTTGAACCATTGAAGTTGTTTGTATTATATTTGAGAACCTACCTGTAAATGTAAGCGACTATCGATAAATTTTTGACGAACAATATAATGTAAGAACGCACCTCCGTGTTGAGACAAAAGTACACTGGAGACGACTGTCAGGCCGCGTTGCTATGGCGGATCTGGATCTGGGAGGGGGGGGGGCAGAGTCATGCATTTCTATGGTATTCACTTATCACTTATGGCATTGTATATGTTTTGAAAGAAGTGTTATGTAAGAAATATATAATGTGCATCTAACAATATGTATAACCAAATCTAAATTAACTGTAAACATTAACAAAACTAGTTTCAATTCAAAATCTAAAAAGCTATATGGTGTTTCTATACGTATGCTGCTATGCTAATGGCTTAATAATGACTTCAGTTCTTTATAACGCGACAAAACATGTTTGACTTCCATGGATAATTAATGATCATCGACAGTATACATATTAAATTTCTCCAATGATATGTAGCTACTTTTATAAGTACAAATTCATTCATACACTTATTACTAACAAAATCACACATAGCTACGTAGGCAAGGTGTGTCCGATTCCAGCCAATAAGAACAAGCTATTTCACGTTACTGCATTTCATTATATAACAAATCACCGCATCCAAGCTCGTTCCTTGTTTGGCACTAAGTATAACTTTCCCGCGTTAAAGTGGCGGCCATTTTGAAATTTTGCAAGTTATGTCGTTACGACTTTAAAATCTCAATGGTATTGTATTGTATTGTATATTTATTGCCTCATTTATATGAGAGAATACATTTTAGTATTAATTTTACATATAAAATATAATATACAAGGATAAGATTAAATTATGTGATAAAAAGTTGTTGTTTTGGAAAACATAAAAATAAAGTGATAGAGAAATTACGTGTCAAGCAGAGCTAACAGGTTGGCTCTGTGATTGTACATTTTGTGTACAGATGATGATACAATTATTAACATCTCACATGAAACATCTGAAACTAAAACTTATCTTCATAATAACATGCATACTGTCACCACGACAGCCAAGGGCTTCAAATATGTTGTGCCTATATGACTCATACATAGGGCATCTTAATATAAAATGTTCAATTGTTTCAGTTTCACAAAGGTTACACAATATACATCGTTTTGAACCATTGAAGTTGTTTGTATTATATTTGAGAACCTACCTGTAAATGTAAGCGACTATCGATGAATTTTTGACGAACAATATAATGTAAAAACGCACCTCCGTGTTGAGACAAAAGTACACTGGAGACGACCGTCAGGCCGCGTTGCAATGGCGGATCTGGATCTGGGAGGGGGGGGGGGCAGAGTCATGTATTTCTCTGGTATTCACTTTTCGCTTATGGCATGGTATATATTTTTGAAAGAAGTGTTATGTAAGAAATATATAATGTGTATCTAACAATATGTATAACCAAATCTAAATTAACTGTAAACATTAACAAGGCATTAACATGACAAAATGTCACCACCTAAAACAATTTGGTCAATTTAAAGCAAGTTGGAAAATACCTTTTGACCTTAAGAAGGTTTGATTTGAACTTCTTAGAACATGTAGATGATTTTGAAAAAAAAATTGTCAATTTGAAACAAGTTGAAAAAATACCTCTTTGACTTTTTTTGACATTGGGAAGGTCATTTAAGGTCAAATGTCAAATGTAAAGTCAGATTTGAACTTCTGAGAACATGTAGATGATTTTGAAAAAAAAATTAAGTAAATTTGAAGCAAGTTGAAAAAAGACCTTTTTGACCTTGAAAAGGTCATTGAAGGTCAAATGTCAAATCTAAAGTCAGATTTGAATTTCTGAGAACATGTAGATGATTTTGAAAAAAAAATTAGTCAATTTGAAGCAAGTTGAAAAAAGACCTTTTTGACCTTGAGAAAGTCATTGAAGGTCAGAGGTCAAATCTAAAGTCAGATTTGAACTTCTGAGAACTTGTAAAGTCAAATTTGAACTTCTGAAAAGATGTAGATGACTTTGGTCAATTTGAAGCAAGTTGAAAACAGACCTTTTTGACTTTTTTTGACCTTGAGAAGGTCATTAAAGGTCAAATGTCAAATTTAAAGTCAGATTTGAACTTCTGAGAACATGTAGATGATTTTGAAAAAAAATAGTCAATTTGAAGCAGGTTGAAAAAAGACCTTTTTGACCTTTTTTGACCTTCAGAAGGTCATTGAAGGTCAAATGTCAAATCTAAAGTCATATTTGAATTTCTGAGAACATGTAGATGATTTTGAAAAAAAGAATTTAGTCAATTTGAAGCAAGATGAAAAAATACCTTTTTGACCTTTTTTGACTTTGAGAAGGTCATTGAAGGTCAAATGTCAAATCTAAAGTCAGATATGAATTTCTGAGAACATGTAGATGATTTTGAAAAAAAAATTTAGTCAATTTGAAGTAAGTTGAAAAAAGACATTTTTGACCTTTTTTGACCTTGAGAAGGTCATTGAAGGTCAAGTGTCAAATCTTAAGTCAAATCTTAAGTCAGATTTGAATTTCTGAGAACACGTAGATGATTTTGAAAAAAAAATTTAGTCAATTTGAAGCAAGTTGAAAACAGACCTTTTTGACCTTTTTTGACCTTGGGAAGGTCATTGAAGGTCAAATGTCAAATCTAAAGTCAGATTTGAAGGTCAAATGTCAAATCTAAAGTCAGATTTGAATTTCTGAGAACATGTAGATGATTTGAAAAAAAAATTTAGTCAACTTGAAGGAAGATGAAAAAATACCTTTTTGACCTTTTTTGACGTTGAGAAGGTCATTGAAGGTCAAATGTCAAATCTAAAGTCAGATTTGAATTTCTGAGAACATGTAGATGATTTTGAAAAAAATGTTAGTCAATTTGAAGCAAGTTGAAAAAAGACCTTTTTGACCTTTTTTGACTTTGAGAAGGTCATTGAAGGTCAAATGTCAAATCTTAAGTCAAATCTAAAGTCAGATTTGAATTTCTGAGAACACGTAGATGATTTTGAATTTTTTTTTTAGTCAATTTGAAGCAAGGTGAAAACAGACCTTTTTGACCTTTTTTTGACCTTGAGAAGGTCATTGAAGGTCAAATGTCAAATCTTAAGTCAAATCTTAAGTCAGATTTGAATTTCTGAGAACACGTAGATGATTTTGAAAAAAAAATTAGTCAATTTGAAGCAAGTTGAAAACAGACCTTTTTGACCTTTTTTGACCTTGAGAAGGTCATTGAAGGTCAAATGTCAAATCAAAAGTCAGATTTGAAGGTCAAATGTCAAATCTAAAGTCAAATCTAAAGTCAGATTTGAATTTCTGAGAACATGTAGATGATTTTGAAAAAAAATTAGTCAATGTGAAGCAAGTTGAAAAAAGACCTTTTTGACCTTGAGAAGGTCATTGAAGGTCAAATGTCAAATCTAAAGTCAGATTTGGACTTCTGAGAACATGTAGATGATTTAGAAAAAAATTGAAGTCAGTCTAACCAGTATTTGTTAAGTTATAGGAAGTTGTAAGAAATTGTTACAGACGCCGGACGCCAACCTCCAACCTCCAACCTCCAACCACCAACCACCAACCACCAACCGCCGTCGCAAAAAAACAAAACTAGTTTCAATTCAAAATCTAAGAAGCCATATACTTATGGCATTGTATATTTTTTGAAAGAAGTGTTATGTAAGAAATATATAATGTGCATCTAACAATATGTATAACCAAATCAAAATTAACTGTAAACATTAACAAAACTAGTTTCAATTCAAAATCTAAAAAGCTATATGGTGTTTCTACACGTATGCTGCTATGCTAATGGGCAGGCTTAATAATGGCTTCAGTTCTTTATAACGCGACAAAACATGGATAATTAATGATCATCGAAAGTATCCATATTGAATTTGTCAAATGATATGTAGTTACTTTTATAAGTACAAATTCATTCATACACTAACTAACAAATTCACAAATAGCTACGTAGGCAAGGTGTGTCCAAGCTCGTTCCTAGTTTGGTTGTCAAGGTGACAACTTGACTCTCCAGATTGAAATTGATGCTTTGCCAACTTGGGCCTTGCGTTCTTTTTAGTGATTTTTTAAGTAGCATGGTAGAATCTATTTGCAATGTGTGAAAATAATTTAAGCCCAAGACTCAATGCGTTGCATGCAGGTATTGTTTCCGAAAAGTAACACTCGATGCTGCGCATTTCATGCAAAATCTTCAAGGAATGGTCATTCCACATTGTACTGAGTCCAGGGCTTGAATTCTTAAGTCATGTTTGTCCAAGTTTATCTTTTATCTTTTCCTCATTTTTGGAGACTGTCATGCTGATTCGTGTTATGCCATTCTGTCATTAAAGCCCTTGTACTGGTTTCAATTCTGAAAGTAAACGTACAGTTATAATATAGTACTTAAAAAATTTCAAAGAAGCCTTCGTCAAGCTTTAATGTCCCGTTTTAAGAGCCCCTATTCTAGCATCTTCTATCCAGCAGGAATTAACTTGTTGGGATTCGATCAACCTGACTTCTTCTGAAAAATGAGGATTTCAGCAAGGGTGCATTGACTTTACATGGTGACATACATGATGTTATTATATCATTGCTAGAATTTGTGTCCTTTGATTGGCTGATTCAGTACCATGTGATCAAAAATACCAAAGCGTATTTCACAGCTCCCTTAATTTTGGAATTATAAAAGACGTATTGCCCGGCGTATTGCCCGCCCGGGAATTCTGAATCGTCCCGTTTCGTTCAGTACAGTTGTGACGTGCATCAAGGCAGACGGAAAAAGATTTAAAAGTCTGAATTCCGATGAAAAGAACGACATCTTGAGGGATGTGCATTCTAAAAACACCATTAAATCAACGGAATGACATCTAATGTCTTAGAACATTTTCAAGTGTTATGTCCACAAACGAAATAGACGTTAAATCTATCGATAAAATCGTTCTGGATGGAATTCTAGAGGATTTTTTTGGAACTGCGAACGAAGGATGGGGAATATTACAAGAGTGCCAGTCTGCAAAGTAAGCGAATGTCTAGCAATGATATAATAAAACAAATATTTCATTCTATGTTCGGGCAATACCTGTTGCACTTTCAATGATTTTTGCAGCATGTATTTCCCTCGCCCTACGGGCTGCGGGCAATACATACTGCAAAAATCATTGAAAGATGAACAGGTATTGCCCTTCATAGAATGAAATATTTGCTTAGTATCCCTACGCTTAGTCAATGGCCAATGGTGTATTTCCCCGTGTTGAGTGAATGCACCCTTGCTAAACTCCTCATTTTCTCAGAAGAACTCAAGTTGATCGAGTCTTAACAAGTAAATTCATGTGGGATAGTATTACTAAAATCCATTTTCAAAGGTAAGAATATGGTTTCTTAAACAGGACATTGGGCTTGCTTTTCGGAACTTTTTGTTGGTACTTTCAGAACTGACTTTAGTGTGCATGGCCCATAGCCGTGCGCCTCCGTTTTATTTTATTTCAAACAAAAATATACCCGGGGCTGATAAGCAAATATTAATTAATAGAAACATAAATAACCTTTGGACAAAAGATGGCGTATGGTTGAAAATCCTATCGGAAATGAATGGACAATTAATGCAAACAACAATGCCATCTTTCTATGGCATTGCTAAAAACTTGACATCTATACATCCAACATATTTTTTCATGAGCTAGTGTCAACTCTGATGTGGTCTGTTTGAGCTGTTTTGGTGTCAAATGAAAGATCAGGTACTTATCAATCCATCAAAAGTGAGACTTCATTTACGCACGTTGTCCCTTTAAGGAAAATAAATCCATTGCGAAAAAAATTAGTTTTCTTTTCAGATGCACGTTTATCCCGGAGATTATTTAAAAAGTTTAAATTAAAATTAATTAAAATTAAAGTTTATTTAAATTTAAATTAAAGTTTGAATTGTAGCTGTGTAGGTGTATTTAGTATATCCTCTATTTTCACATATATCAAACTTTAGTGGATCGTGTTAATGTCATTAATTATATATGTTTAGCAAATAAATGGATTAAGGGAGGCAATTATGTGAGTATGTCCCTGGTACTAAATACAAGTGTAAGCTAAAAAGGTACACACATTACATGCAGTGGAAAGTTCTGTCCAATAAAAAACAGATGCAGTCATCTTTTGCTGAGGAAAGCAAAGGCACAAGAAGTATTATATCAAATAAGTCTAGATTTATTATTTCGAATGAGTATTTTATTTTCACAGTTAAGGGAAAAGTTTAAGAATAAAAATGTTTGATAAATCATGTGGTGCACCAATATGCAATATGCTTCCTGATAATCACTTTTTAAACCTAATCACTTCAAAGACCTAATTACAGATGGTCTGCGGTTGAATCTAATCTACTAATTGAATATAAAGCCCATGGGTTCCCCTTGGTTTTCATGGGAATGACGTTTTTCAAAAATTCATCAAATAGGAGAAAAAATTGGGAAAATTTGTAGCATTGGAAATGAAGTCAAGTTACATTTCCCTCAATGTTATAAGTATTTTCCTCGCGGGTTCTGTAAATAAAAATTCAAACATAATATTGTATGGTTCAAATTTTAAGAGTGTTACTTTCGTTAACATTCCTTATATGGAAAAGTGGCGGTCTTAACATTCTTTTGAATCTGGTTAAGATAGCATCTTTCCAGTATAGAATCACTTTTCGGATATTTTTGGTTTAAGCAACATTAACATTTTATTTAGATATAAACTTCAAAACTATGTGACTTTCTATCAAAATTCTAAATTCTATAAAAACCATCAACATAAGTTGAGAACCAGGATTCAATCAAAGTAATTATGTCGTAGAGTAGGATTAATCCTGAACATTAAATAAACATGGAACACTACTTCTTGTTTTATGTTAAATCATTTATACGTAACCAAAGCAAAATATAACAATAAAGAGGAGGAAGCAAAGGTTGCCAAACTTCTGGAGGGGAAAAAAGGAAAAAAGGATTTGACAGCATTTTTTAGTAAGATAATAAAATGTTCATTTCTCAAAAGCAAATTAAAGTTTATGTTGATTCACAAGTTCAACTTAAATGTTTTCATTTCTCTAAACGTTCATGTTTCTCGTCATTTATGATAATTAAAAAAACAGCGGAACGGTGATAGAGAATGGAATGTTTTATTTTTTATTTTCAATTCAAAGAAAGAACAAATAGGTTTTTCAGCATTAGTTGTTTTTTGTTGCAAGGCATTAAAATTTAAAAGAAATGTTTAATGCTAGAGCTACAGAGCACAGTGGAAATATTGTTATTTCAATTTGGTCATTTTGGAATTTCAGCCTATGTTTCATTCCATTAATACAATACTATTTGTCATCTGTCACTGTGCGCCACAAAAAAAAGAAATAACAAGCAAATAAAATGAAATGGCAAATAAAAATCTTTTGATTTGGAATCTTTTCAAAAATCAGCTAAAAGCGTGGGAATTGCATGTTTCAGAACTTGACATATCTGTGAATGAACATGTGAATGAAAGGATGAATTGTATGTATGACAAATACAAAAAATGCTTTTATGTTAGGTACACCAATGAAGGGGGAGGTTTGTGGATAACATAAAAAATCGAACCCCTGGTCACCAATTGCTGGCTACGCCACTACATGTTTAACAATTTTAACATGTTAATTAACTACATGCATGAATGAATGAAGAATCTATGATTTAATGAAAAGGAGAGTGCATTAGTTTTCTATTGTTTTTTAAAGAATGTAAACTTAGCAAGCTATCAAAAACAAGTGTGACATTAAAAACGATTGACAGTTTTTGATAGTTTCCATCCCCTAGAAACTATATACAATTACGCAGATGCGAGTAGGTAGTTAGCAGATTCACCACCAGATGGCTCGTAATTCGGGTCAGATAGCATGGCGGGTATAGTAGAAAGTTCCCGGTGGGTAGTTAGCAGATTCACCACCAGATGGCTCGTTCGGGTCAGATAGCATGGCGGGTATAGAAGAAAGTTCCCTGTAACCTAAATTACATCTATTTGCGTGGTTCAATTCTCATATAACCCTTATGTATCTAATAGTTATGCAAATTAAAATATCGCCAGAAAAAAGAAAATGTTATCTGTCCAATACAAGATAATTCACTTTTTGTAATTTTGTAACATATCAAAGTTGATAGACAATTATCGAAACCATATTTCTGATGTACTTTTACATGCAGATTTCAAATATGACATCACTTTGACTAGAATTAGAATATTTAATGACGTAAATCAAGATTATTTCTACTCGCATCTATTATTATATTACTCACAATCAATTGCCTCGCGTCTTGAACATTTTGCGGATCTTCTTTCTCTTCTACGTTGTTTCTTCTTGTAGGTTCATTGTCATTGGATTCAGATTGAGAATTGCTCGCTTTCCATTTATTCATTGCATTCATTAGAAGCACCTTTTGTCTCCATGACAATTTAGGCTCGGCATCTTCTCCAATCGGTGCGTCTTGAACATTTTGCGGATCTTCTTTCTCTACCACGTTGTTTCTTCTTGAAAGATCATTATCATTGGATTCAGATTGAGAATTGCTCGCTTTCCATTTATTTATTGCGTTCATTAGAAGCACCTTTTGTCTCCATGACAATTTAGGCTTGGCATCTTCTCCATTCGGTGCGTCTTGACCATTTTGCGGATCTTCTTTCTCTTCCACGTTGTTTCTTCTTGTAGGATCATTGTCATTGGATTTAGATTGAGAGTTGCTCGCTTTCCATTTGTTTATTGCGTTCATTAGAAGCACCTTTTGTCTCCATGACAATTTAGGCTCGGCATCTTCTCCATTCGATGCGTCTTGACCATTTTGCGGATCTTCTTTCTCTACCACGTTGTTTCTTCTTGTAGGGTCATTGTCATTGGATTCAGATGGAGAATTGCTCGCTTTCCATTTGTTTATTGAGTTCATTAGAAGCACCTTCTGTCTCCATGACAATTTAGGCTCGGAATCTTCTCCATTCGGGGCGTCTTGGCCATTTTGCGGATCTTCTTTCTCTTCCACGTTGTTTCTTCTTGTAGGATCATTGTCATTGGATTCAGATTGAGAATTGCTCGCTTTCCATTTATTTATTGCGTTCATTAGAGGCACCTTTTGTCTCCATGACAATTTAGGCTCGGAATCTTCTCCATTCGCGGCGTCTTGGCCATTTTGCGGATCTTCTTTCTCTTCCACGTTGTTTCTTCTTGTAGGTTCATTGTCATTGGATTCAGATTGAGAATTGATCGCTTTCCATTTGTTCATTGCGTTCATTAGAAGCAATTTTTGTCTCCATGACAATTTAGGCTCGGCATCTGTTTGAGTGCCTTGATCATTCTGGGCCTCCAGCTCTTGTATTCGAATGGCTCTTTCCAACTCATCAAGATCTGTTCGGAAATAACTCTTTGCGTTCATTTCCCCTGCAAGAATCAGTACCAACACGGCAGATAACATCGCATTGAAATTCCTCATTTTGTTGAACTTCTTGTCGAAAATAAATCGAAACGTTCTGATATATTGACACGTCTCTATAGCATGAGAAATTTTGGAATCTCTCTTTTTAAAAATACCTATTTAAACTTTTATGCGTTACCGGCGTGTATAAAATTTCAATAAAGTAATTCAAAATGCCAAATATGACCAAATAGAAAAATTAACGAGAAATTAAATGAGCGGACATGAAGAAATGTATGTTCATCTATTTAAAACATCCAGAATATAAGAGATGCTTCATAATCTTTCTCGGATATGAGTCAAAAAGCGTGACCAGAGAGAACATTTGAGTAAGGGGTTGCTCTTAATTGTGATAACCACTTCTTAAAAGGTTGACTGACCTGGCTCTAACCCCAATAGAAGTAAGGCATATACATAAACGATCGGTTCATTTAAGGTTCGATGTATAAAAAGTTTAAATACAGGCAAATAAATAATACAATGAAGGTCGGTCTCATTTGGTAAGTTTGATTAATTCCAGCCATTTGACCAATACCCCATTAACATATTACGGAAATATATGTGTACATCTAATTCAAATCGAAGCGATAATTCCCGAAGTTCTGATTCCACTGCAATTGTTTTATGGAAACAAAAGTTTTGATTTTATATATACTTTTTTCATATACTATTACCCAAACTCTTGCAAGTTTACTGTTACTATTGCATATGGGCAAATCAAAGCAATAATTCCTAAGATTTGCCCCTAAATTTAGCTCTTCTGTGACTAAGTGGTGGACATTTTGAATTTCCGCAAAAAATAATGTCAATACTTCAAAATCTCATTGGCAATACTTAAGAGAACCAACCTGTAAGTGTACGCGTGGTAATGGACATCGAAGGACATTCGATAAAACGTACGTTTTATACATTTATGGGAACATACCTGTATTTTAATGCAAAATCAAAGCAAAAATTTCTAAGTTTCTCTAAATGCGCATTTATTTTATTTTCTCTCGAGAACGACTGTCTCATTTTTTCACAAGATGTAAATAGCATGTCATTTACATCATACCTTGATGGGGGAAATAGATCTTATATGTTAGAAGTACTAAATAAAAGTTATCGTGAAAATGAGACAGTCGTTCTCGAGAGAAAAGAGCATAAATGCGCATTTAGAGAGTTTTGGTCCGTTTAAAAATCTGTAAAAAATTGGGGTATTTAAAAGCATCGAGAGGCATCATTTATTTCAAATTAGACACGAGGAAGTCAATATTGAGCAAGTTATGGCTGTTTTAAATTCAAATAAAACCGTTAACCCGTACCGGTCCAGCTTTTGACCCGTACCGGTCAATTTTCGTTAGCTGCGTATACCAAGGGTGTTATTGGTTGATAAATACACTGTCTAAACAATTTACAATTGACGTTTCAGTTGTAATTTATTTGAATTCAAATGTGAAAGTATTACGTCTTCTCTATTGGTTATAATTATGTAAATCGTAAGCGAACATTTCATTCATAAATTGCATGTGTAGTGGACTTTCCCCGAAGAATCGCATAGTGTCTTTGATTAAAATATTGACATAAACAAAGTACTGCAAGTATATCCCTCAACATTTAAGAGCATCAGTCTACTAACAAGGAAATCTGATGTTTTAAAATTGATTTCAAATGGTGGAAGGACCCGGTGCCGCGAATATTTGACCAGATTTATTACTCCAAGGGTAGGGAATTGACACATTTATTTTGCCCCAGGGTAAGGAATTAGACAGGCCAATATTTTGTCAAATGGGTGGGGGGTCTCACGCAAACTTTCGAATGGTGCATAACGTGTTCCTAATAAAACAGTCACACATGGTGAGTATTTTCTTTTTGTCGCTAACACCCCAGTCACATTTCCTACGGCGACCTTGCGGTCTATCATTTCTGCGGCCAGTAACATTTCTACGCTCGCCGTGGAATTTCTGCGCTCTCATACTTTTGCAGTCACATTTCCCACGACAGCCGCACGGTGAATTTTAAATTTCTGTTGATAAATAATACTTTTTTCATTTTATTTACATCGGGACAACTAATAAATGTTATTCATAGTGCTAGGATGTTATATCAAATGAAAAGTGATCGTGAAACATTGACAAATAATGATTCAATCGTGTTGAGCCAGTTGATTTCTACGGCGGCCTCAGAAATGAACAAAAAGTATAACTCCGAGTTATAATTTCTACGCCTTCCCTGCGGCCTGTAAAAATCTGCATACGCCGTACGGAGGCCGCAAGGCGAGCGTAGTTTTTCTACGCTCGCCGCAGAAATTCACCGATTTAATTGATCTGCGGTCGACTTGCGACCGCCGTGCGACAAATGTGACTGGGGTGTTAACGTTTTTTTTGTTATTCAACCAAAAGTAAAGATTATATGTAAATATACATGATTATTCAGAACTATTGACTGACAAGCTTGTCCAACAATGGACAAGATATTGATTTGTTTTTTTCTTTGCCTTTGCATTATCACCATTCAGAACTATAGGGCAGACTAATTTTTTCTTCATGTTTATTTCAATACAAAGAAATTCATATTTGAGGAAGATGATATTTACATTTTTTAATTCAAAATTGCAATCACATCTAAAACGCTACATTCACTTTATTACAATAGAGCATTTCTATGATAATTCGACCATCTCAAAGTACTTTGAAGGCAAACACAACTCCGGTCCTGTTTACTACATATCCCTGCACCACATTTCTAGCTATTTGGATCCATATTTTACGTTTTTCCATGTCAAGCATTTCATGCTCCAATGCATTACTCTTATAGCTCTCTGCACTCGTGAGGAATTCCTCTCTCATGACAAGGCATATAACTCCACCTAAAAGAAAATCATCAGCTATGTGGAAATGGTATTATTTTTGTTGTCTATAACAGTGTGTATGTACTAAGCACATATAATGCAAAGTACATGTATGAGCTGTGATCAGGTCCCCTAGACCATCCTAGCATGTGAATTACCTTGACCTTATATCATGTCATCGTGTATGAATGACAGTACAATGTCGGTATTAAATCACGCCACATGTCGACAATGATTTTGGTAGTTTACACCCCAGTCACATTTGTCGTACGGAGGCCGTGCGTCGACCGCAGATCAATTAAATCAGTGTATTTCTGCGGCGAGCGTAGGAAAACTACGCTCGTCTTGCGGCCTCCGTACGGCGTATCCAGTTTTTACAGGCCGCAGGGTCGCCGTCGAAATTATAACTCGGAGTTATAATATTTGTTCATTTCTGAGGTCCCCGTAGAAATCAAGTGGCCCAACAAGATTGAATCATTATTTGTCAATGTTTCACGATCACTTTTCATTTGATATTACATCCTAGCACTATGAATAACATTTATAAATTGTCCTGATGTAAATAAAATGAAAAAAGTATTATTTTTCAACGGAAATTTAAAATTCACCGTGCGGCTGCCGTGGGAAATGTGACTGCAAAAGTATGAGAGCGCAGAAATTCCACGGCGAGCGTAGAAATGTTACTGGCCGCAGAAATGATAGACCGCAAGGTCGCCGTAGGAAATGTGACTGGGGTGTAACACAAATATTTTGATTGAAAATGTTTTGAGGTTTTAATCGCAAACACAGATATCTACAACCTTGCTTAAGTAATTCGTACACAATATGATACGGTTTATGATACAGCAAATATTATATACCTAGGGTATCCCTTGGTGTAGCAAAAGAATGCAGGGTGTATCGCAAAGATCTATTTTACCTGGCTTCACCACTCTTGCCATTTCGTGCATTGCCTTCGGAGGAATATGCCCATCGCCCATCCCTCCTGATGTCACTAATCCATCATACTCATCTGAAATTTCCACCATATTTCTTTTGAGTTTTTATACATATGCATCTAATATTGGCATCTCCAATCGCATTTTACCACATAAGCAGGACAGCCCTAAATCTGAAAAGTGGGACACCAAGTAGGGCAACATTTTAATCTATCAATAAATATCAGAAAAACATCATTAATAAAACATTGTGTAATAACTATGCACAGAAAACGAAGATAACTATTTTCAAATGTAGGTCCAAATCTTTCCCAAGCTGAACATAATGTAAGCGTACCATCAAGAATGGGGGTCCCTGTTTCTAGGATAAAAGCAGGAATATGATTTTTATACAGCTGCTTCTCCCTAGCTATCTTAAGCATCCTAGTTGACGGATCCAAGGCATCTAAGTTCATGAAGCCTAATTTCTGCAGCTGAAATAAATGTTCTTTCTTTCATTTTCACCAACAAAGTGCTTTAACTATATGTTTATTGTAAGCTCCGGTGATGCCTCAGTCATATTTGCTCCGATTCATCGACCGGCGCTCGGCTGATTGAGTATTTTTTCAAATTTGAAGGTCAAATCTCAAATTTGATGTCAGATGTGAATTTTAGAGAAATTGAACATGATTTAAAAACAGTTTGGTCAATTTGAAGGAACTTGAAATCAGTTTTTAAATAAAAAACTGCAATCGGCCGGGCGCCGGCTGATGAATCGGAGCAAATGTGACCTAGGCACTAATGACACTCATAGTCTATTTGTGTTTGTTCATTCGAATTTGATACTTAAATAAATATAACGGTTCTTCAGTTCAAAAACTAACGTTCTGGTTGCTAAAGCAAATGATTTCTCACTCGATTATTGGAGCATTTGGAAATATTCGGACGTAACTGACAAGCTTTCAGTGAAGCTTAAGTCATATTTATACGGTCACCGTGCGGTCTATCACGTTAGTTTAGAGATATATGACGAATAAAATGCATGATGGGGCTCCTGAAGGGTAAATACGACATGCAGAATTTACCTACCTCTAAAGAAAAAAGTTTCAATGTATATTACCATGTCCTTTTATCATTCGTTATTATCAGACCAAACATTCAGAGGTATGATAATGTATGAATAGTAGTGCCAAATGGAGAAAATTTCAAAGAATTTCGTAAATATGGTAAAAAGTTAGAAAGGATTGATTAGAACAACTCCCAAAATCGTCGTTAATTTTAGAAATCATATTAACCCAGCAATGTTCTCAAGAGGGGGATCTTCTGAGACATAAAGTTAAATTCTTAGTTCGTTTAGACGATTACACCAGTTTAAAAAGTTTTCAATCCAATAAAACTGTGAAAATATCAGTTATACGAGTATAACGAAAGTCCGATTAATTACAATCATTTTTTACAAAATCTGAGGTAACATCCTTCAGATTCAGAGGACTCTTCTCAGTTCAAAATTAGGGGCAGGGCTTATTTTATAGAAGTAAAAACTACGGTTGCAGAACGCCTGATAAACGATGATGCACGGTCAGTGTGAAGCGGCCCTACGACGGGCGGAGTTTTCTTGACAAAACCAAGGCAGAGGAAGGCAGCCGCAGGGGGACATTACGCCGATCCTATGGTTTGCAAAGGTTAATTGAAACTAATAAAACCCCTACGGTAGACACAAGCCAACCGTACACCAGACGTTTGGCCGTCGTGGAACCTTTTTCGATCTGGCTACGGCCAGTTAATGTCTTCAGTGACCGTATAAAGTTTTAACTTGAATGTATAATGTCTATGACCTGTTAAAAGCTAGATATCCGTGATGATATTAATCTATATACATGTAGTTCTAATTTGTTAAGTACCTCTTCAGCTACTTTACCAGTTCCAGCCGCAACATCAATTATTCTGGCGTCTTTGTTAGGAATGTACATGTTAACAGCTTCAGCTGCATAACGTGGACCATTGTAGACACCAAGAGGCAATTCCTGAAGTGGTTATAAGTGTCATTAGAATTCAGTTTCATGCAAAGGCAACATTTGCATTTCAGTTTAAATAACATTACCATACACCCCAATCCATACGTTTGGTCAGATGTTTTTATTTGATAGCATACAACGTCTGTCAATGTTTAGATATCAATTTGTTCCTTTATTGCAGTAGTTGAAAAAGAGGAAATACATGAACATACTTTATAAGTGATTGAGAAGGGGGACGTCGTGGTTGCTACAATTATGGAGGAGAGTGTACATATTGCAATTTTTGATGCGTCCGTTAATTTACTAGCTTTAGCCGTAGATATAAATGATACATTTTGGCGTAAGAATCGGTCATTGGGGGTAGAGGGGTAAAGTTATGATAGTCGTAAGTTGGTTCCAATTCAAGTTAAAATGTTGAACGTTATATTGTTTTTAATAGTGTAGGCAATGCAAAGTGATCATTATTGTTTTTTGATTCAGCATTTCGGATTATCTTTTTTTTTTTTTTTCTCAATATACAATTTCATTACACAGGACAGAATACAAGTGATTTGCTGTGAGCCGTTTTTACAAAGGAAATAGAAGTACAAAGAATACCAAATTCGACACACAAACCCATTCCAATCACACGACATTCATTCATATCATGCATACCACACACATACAATCACTCATCAAAAATATTTTCCAGTCTGAAACCTTCGTTTAAATAGGCTTGAAATCCAACACAAGTCAGTGGCATGTTGGAATAATAAGCTCTATGAACATAGTATTTTAATATCAAGAGGGAAAAGTTAAACTTTCTAAAATGTTTCCTATCGAAATACCCAACAATGACGTGTTGCTCATTTAAGTGTATATCCTTTTCTCTCCATTGATCTCCGAAATATTTTAAAAGACTTTTGATGTTCTTGCACTCCCAAAAACGGTGGACAATCGTCTCTTTTTGGCCGCAAAAATCACATTTATCATTCGTACGTATACCAACAAGTTTAAGGTACAAATTTGAGGCATAAATATTATTAATAATCTTATACTGTAATTCCCAAAAAGCGTGGTTTTTTGTTATGTCATATACCATTGTACACGTATCTCGAGCGTTAACATTATATTTGCAACATAAGCGCTTAACGCTTATTGATTCAGAAAAACATTGTTGATTGATGCACAATTGAATCATTTTTGTATTCAAATTTTTGATGTGGACCGTTTTGTTACCAATGTTCGATGCTTTCAGTATATTCGGTTTCACACTTCGCTTTCGGATCGCTTTTTAAAATTGATTTCCATTTCTTTGGAATGGAAGATATTAGGCTAATGTAATCTAAAAAGTTTATATCCACCTGGAACTTGTATTTAAAATCATTCAGTTCCATAAAACTACCATTCCCATTTAGTAAATCATTTATTTGAACAACTCCCATTTCGAAAAGGCTTTTTTGAAATATCTGTTTACCCTCCCTAAGTATGTATTTATTATGCCATAGTATCTCGCTCTTTACCTCAGAACTGTTTTTTGGTTCTCCCGTCTCACTTACCGTTGAATAATATGAAAGAGCATTCATATAGAAATCGGGGATTTTTTGTTTAAATAGGCGTACTCATATCTACATTGCAGAAGTAGATTAAGACCGCCAAAATGTTCAAAATATATTCGCGGAATCACTTTCCAGTGGCTAAGTTGGTCATCAAGGAATCGTTTAAGCCACATAATTTTTAGTGCTTTTTCCATCGATGTCATGTTCACCATACGAATGCCCCCCTGATCATAAGATCCGATCACAGTATTTCGTTTTATTTTATCCCGTTTCCCTTTCCACAAAAAATTATAAATCAAAGTATTCACCTTTGAGATGATGCTGTCGGGCGTGACAGTCATGGACATAGAATATACGATCTGTGAAACTGCAAGGGATTTGATTATCATAATACGACCGTAAATGGTGAGATTTCGCTTACCCCAGAGGTTCAGAATCCTCTTCAAGGATTCTATTTTCCGGTCAAAATTTATCGCCTTATTATGCTCTGGATCGTATGATACACTGATGCCTAAAAACTTACTTGGCCTCTTTACCCAAATACAACCCCCAATATTCGGATTTACACCATCATGGTTGGCACCAACACTAAAACATTCGGTTTTTTCCTTATTAATTTTTAGGCCCGATAATTGATAAAACTTTTCGAAAATGCTTATAAGGCAGCTTCAAGGGAATTTGCATCTTTGAGTATTAGAGACGTATCATCTGCATACATAATCAATTTCTGAGTGTGGTCATTTAGATCGATTCCTTTCACATTCTCATCTTGCCTGATCTTAAGGGCAAGTACCTCAATACATATAACAAAAAGGGAGCAACTTAACGGATCTCCTTGACGGACACCCCTATGTACTTTAAACCACCCAGTAGAATGCCCGTTGTTCAATACGCAGCTATTGATTTCAGTGTAAAAGAGCTTAACCCAACGGATTAACTCATCGCCAAAATTAAAGTACCGCAACGCAAAATCAATAAAACTCCATTCGATACTGTCATATGCTTTTTCAAAGTCAATTAAAGAAATAATGTCTGGTATTTTCATTTCTCTAGTATATATTAGTAAATCCTCCATAAATTGAATGTTTTCGCCAATCAGTCTTCCTTTGACAAAGGCAGTCTGATCGGGTTCAACAATCGCGCAGAGAACCGCTTCAATTCTCTTACTTACCACTTTAGATACAATTTTATAATCTATATTTAACAATGAAATTGGAAGCCAGTTTTTAAGCAGAGATAAATCCTTTCCCGATTTTTCAATCAAAGATATTACGCCCTGCCTTTGACTAACAGATAAGAGTCCAACTCTAAGTGAGAGGTTAAAACTGTCAACAACACCTGTCGAAATGTCATTCCAAAATGCTTTATACAGTACCATTCGGCCGAAAGGCCATCACTCCCCGGTGTTTTGTTCGACTTAAACGTTGAGAGAACTTTAAAGCATTCTGCTTCAGTAAGTCTGAGTTCGCACAATGCATAATTTACGCGACTGTAGATTATTAGTAAAAATGTCAAAATCTTTGAAATCGGGCGAGACCTTTTCAGAATATAAATCTTGATAAAAGAGTTTAATTTCATTCAAAATACGAGTATCATTTTCGATACTTACTCCACCAATCGACAAATTTGTAATGTGGTTTTTCTCGTGGTTTGATTTTTCCAGATTAAAGAAAAAAGACGTACATCTTTCATTTTTTTCATACTGGTCAATTTTTGCTCGGATCAAATGACCTTTCGCCTTATAGATACACATTTTTTCAAGTTTGACTTTTGCTCTTTCATAGGCTTCACATACCGAAGAGATTAAGGTAGAGCCGTCACTTGCAATTAAAGATTCAAGATGTTCGTTCTCCTTTAGTAACTCAAGTTCAGCTTTTCGATTTTCACGACATTTTAACTTTGAAAAATGTATTGTCTTTTCCTTAATTTTGAACTTCATGAATTCCCATAATTCGATCTTGCTGAGATCACGGTGCTCATCACGTAATTCTTTAAGTTTCTAACTTGCTTAATTTAAAATTGGTGAATGTTAAATATTTTATGGATTTTTTAGGCTTAGTTGATAGTTGAAGTTAGTTGGCAAGCATCCGCTAATCTCATCATCACGAATTAGAGAGAAAGAACTCCTGAATCATTTTGCAATAATTGTCCTGGTTCTGTTATTATTCTGTCATCGTCATCCTCGAATTTCTTTATCTGGGGCTACTTGAAAGAGCATTTTATGCTAATCCCAAACCAAACGATCTAGAACAAATAAAAGCCAACATCCGAAAAGAAATCCAAATCATTCCATAAAACATAAAAACCTGAAGAACAGAGTGTTGATAGAATACTGTTTGTATCATTAATTCCAAAAGTTTTCCAACAACTAATTCAGTCGGAGAATGCAGGATCAAAATACAACACACGAATCATCATGATAAACTATGACATCTCAAATCTTCTCAGCCCTGATGTTTTGGGTGAAACAGAAAGATGCTATGAGTATCAGAATGCACATGAACAAATCATAATCATAACTAACTAAACGTGTTTTCACTCCCATATGCAATCAAACTATCCGAAACTCTTAAAAATAGTGATTATTAATAGGGATGTATTACCTTGTCGTATTTCCCGCCTTCGCTCCACTTTCCATAGGCATTCAACACATCATCTTGACTTAAAGTCGGTTTATATAAATCGCATATTTTTGCATTCATGTTTTCGAACTTCTCCATTGTAAATTATGAAAAAATTCTATTGTATCTGTAACATCCCCTCAACTCGTTGTGGTAGCGTGGTTAAAAGAGAGGGTGGTGTTATTGGTTATAATTATGAACTTTATTCTTAGTTAATTATGTGGGTGTAAAACATCTGCCTTTACAATGAGTCTTATAGGAAATAAACTTTTATGTCGAAAGAAACATGGCGTTCTGGTAAAAATCTCTACATCTTGATCATACTTGGAATTGTCTCATGAAAAGGGGGGGGGGGATACTATTAAATATAACACGACAAACGTTTTAAATAAAGAAACATATTTACAGTTGTATATTTTAAGATATAAAGCATAACAATGACAACAGTACAGTAAACATTAGTTATGAATAATCAAACTGTCTATAAAGTGACTAACATGGACTAACAATGACTAACACGAACTATAAAAAGTGACTAACACAAGTTAACAAATGACTAGCAATTTTCGTCTCGTTCCAATACGGAATTTCTCGAGCAGAATATATCCTGTATTGCACTTCAAATTAAATCATACTTCGCCGTACGATACTGTTCATAAGGTACCGTGCGGTAATGTGTAAAGGTACCGTACCGTATCATGATTTCAGAATGCGGATTGGGGGTGTATGTAAAACCAGATGACATATTGTAAAAGAGCAAAGTAATGATGTTAGACTGGTTTCTTATGTACATAAAATATTGTTCACACTAGGTTCGTCCTCTATGGTTGTGAAATATGAATGTAACGATTGTCACAATGTCACGCGGGACTAACTTCGACCGTTAATTTGAATTTTGATCTACCAGATGCTTGAAAATCAAAGATTGCGAGTCTCATACTGCACCGTTTTTCTTCAAACTTATACCATTAAAAGCAAAACAAAATTGCCTTTCTGTCGGTGCATTGCTTTATTGTAAAGAGTCGTTTTAGGAGCGTTTTGGTCCCCAGCTGTTAGAAGGCCTTCTTACAGCTGGGGACCAAAATGCTGCTGGAAGTATGAACTCTATTTAAGAAAATACTAGTAATGTACCAGCAGAAAGGGATTTTTGTTATGCTTTGAATGGAACAAGTTTGAAGAAAAACAGTGCAGTATGAGACTCGTAATCCTTGATTTTCAAACATCCGGAAGGTCAAAAATTCAAATTAACGGTCGAAGTTAGTACCGCGTGAATGTAAAGGATTACAAGCATGACTCGTTCAAAAATCTTCATTTTAAATTGTTCTTAATCGTGGACTTTTCATTAACGACTATATGTTATAAACTGTTTTCAATTCTTTGTTTTCAGTCACATTTGCATATTGCACCAAACTACAGTACTCCTGTTTGGTTGAATGCACACCGCAATTATTTTGCCATAGGCCGTAATGTTAACTTCAAATGTCCTCAGGAAAAACAGATCGAATTTATGCACAATCATCATCCTTACTTCAAAACAGCACAATGTCTTATGTACCCACCAGAGAAAAATAAATAAAATCGATACATTGACGTTTTTCTTGACAAGGTTTTATCTCCTCCACCATGAAGAGCTCAATAGTTAGTGGCCGAGTCACTCAAAATTAAGCAGTGTATAAATGCGCTGTTTTTCTCCAGTGCAAACGAAATGAACTTCAAGCTGCCCATGTCAACTTGTTCCATCAACTTACTGTACTAACACGCCTAACCATCGACAAGGTACAGTGACAGAATATACCGTAATACACTTTAGATGTACGTTGTCACAATTTAACTGATTTGAAGCAAAGACAATGATGTAGGTTCGATGTGGGTTTTAAAAAATAATCTGAGGAATGCATTAAGGATTTCATGTTTGATTTTTTGTGTATTCGTTTAGGAAGACATTTAACTTTCTAATAACGTTAAAAGATTTTCGAACAGTGCTCGATTTTTTCATAGTCAATCTACCCATATAATTGGTCGGTTGGAAAATGTTGTGGTTTTACTCATTTCCTTTGATCATTTCCTCCCCTGTCGTCTTAGAGTGTCGAAGATTTTTATAAGATTATTCTCTAAACAGCACAATTAAGGTGTGTTAAAGATTTGATAAGTATTAACATTTTGGCTATAATTTAAAAAATCATAAGTGTATGTTGTCAACTCGAATGTACGTTGTCCCATTGAACTTACTCAATTCACAGTTAACCCTAATGCAGACAACGTATTTTTCATAACACTAACAGAAAGGGGGTCAGATGCATTTAAAATTGAAACAGAACAATTACAGAATTACTTCAATTGAAACTTTCCAGATATATCATAAAACGGGATTTTAGAAAGTCATATTCAATAAGCTAGTATAGATCAGTGATCTATCTATCAATGTAACTAACAAAACGTAAGCTACATGTACATACGCCAAATAGTCAAACAGGCTGGAAGGAGACTCCGTGGCAGTGCTAGTCTTCAACATATTCTATTCCGAGACACTGGATGTGAGTTTGGGCTGGACACTAACACCAAATGGGCACAAATTAACCACCACCACAACAATACTTTCATAAAATGAAAAAGCAAAAAGGATACTTGAACATGTTCGTTAAAGATCACTTGTTACAGAATTTTGAAATGAAATCATTACATTGTTTAATATTACGTATATCTCATGAATTTTCAATTACAGGGACAACATACATTCGAGTTGACAACGCACGTTTCTGATTTTTTAAAACTACAATAAATACTTGAATATTTATATAATCTCCACCCATCCTAAATTGTGAAGTATAGAGAAACATATTTTCATAAAAATAATCGACACTCTTAGGCAACAGGGGCAAAATGATCAAAGGAAATGTGAAAAACCAAACGTTTTCCAACCGATCAATTTTCGTGGGTAGATTGACTTCGAAAAAATTCGAGCACTGTTCGAAAATCTTTTAACGTTATTAGAAAGTTAAATGTCTTCCTAAACGAATACACACAAAATTAAACATGAAATCTTTCAAGTATTCCCAAGAACCTACAGGGTGGTCAAAATAAAAGTGAAGGGTTGCAACAGGCTATATTTCCCCCATTACCTGCAGGAATCCTTTCATATTTTCACATGTTGTAGAGGAAGGTCTAAAATTTTTGTTGGTACCATACATTTATCGAAATCTTGAAATTTGCAGAAATAATAAGCCCTAACCAAACATCACTGAAAATCCATGAAATGTGAACTTTAACATTTCCGACTCGTCAACCCCTAAACAATATGAAAACATCCTCCAGTGAAGTCGCAACATAACCCTATATGGTCTTATAATGTCAATATCTTCATCAATCATGGACCAATTCTAATGAAATATGGCTAAAAACATTCAATTAGATTACTGTTTGATTTTTGTAAGATATTTATATGAAGGGCTTCTCAGATTTTGGATCACAGGGGTTAACTTTGCCCCCCTCTAACCGTTTGTGTAGGTAACATGCCCCTTAACTCTCTTAGTGCCGCAATAAATTTCAAAACATATATCTCAGTGCCACATTAATTTTGAATCAGACAGCTTTTTGACTTATTTTGCACTTCCATCATTCAAACCTGAATTTTAGACTTAGTTTAGAACCAAATGCAATGAAACTTGACATGGTGTATCATAATAACACTGGCTTGAAAATGCATGTACACCATTATGTCAATGGCTGTGCTGGTTACCATGGTAACCATATTAATCTTGAAATCTTATAAAACATAAAAATCGTGAAATTTTCCAATTTGAAGACAATATTTCTTATTACTGGTACCAGCGCATTCCATCTTAATTTCGGTTTTGGAACACAGGAATCGTCTCTTACTCAAAAAACACATTTATCAAGTCTAGATAGTGTATCCAAACTTGATGTGCTGATATTAGGATATGATTGATTGATGCCTTAACAGGTTTCAAAACAGACGTCTCAGTCTTTAAATCGGACAGGTTTTTGACATATTTTGCTCTTCCATTATGAGAACCTGGATATAAGACTTAATCCTGAACCAAATGCAATGAAACTTATCATGGGTCATGAAAATAACAAAGGCTTGAAGATACATGTATACCACCAAGTGATGGCGTTGTGGGTTGCCATAGTAACCATATTCACCTTGGTATCTTTAATAACAAGAAAATATTCAAATATCTCTGTTCAAAGACAATGGTTTTGTATTAGCAATATCAGCACATTACATGTCATTTTTATAGTTGTTGCATGTCAGAATTATTTCTTATTCAGAATAAAACATTCTAAATCAAATAAAGCATACAGTCTAGGGTTGTATCCAGATGTTTATATATAATGTCTTAATGTGATGATAAGATTTCAAATATTGAAGTCTTTGTGACACATTATCATTTAAATATTATAAAGTATAACATTTTGTAAAGATTTTTTTTGAAACTGTATTGCTGAAATACAGATATTTCATTCAGTTGATAATGAGTTGTTGTGACATTTGCTATGGGTCATCATGATGACATTATCTTGAAAGTTCATAAGAAACTTTAGTCCACTTAACATATCTGTTACCATGGTAACCATATTAAATCTCAGGTAAAAAACATCAGGTAAAAAAAAATATATATATAGAATTTCAAAAAATTTCAATTTCCTATTCTGAATTATTTAGCCTAGTCTATGCTAAATCAAGAATGATTGAATCAGCAATTAATACTTACTCTTTTATGAGTTTGTATTTGTATTTTATTTTCAGAAGATATAAAACAATAAAAAGGATGTGTGCAGAAGTAAAATTATATAATCAAGAATGATTGAATCAGCAATTAATACTTACTCTTTCATGAGTTTGTATTTGTATTTTCTTTTCAGAAGATATAAAACAATAAAAAAGATGTTTACAGAAGTAAAATTATATAATCAGTGGTCCACCCTGTAAATGAAACATGTTTACCTTTCTGTATTTTGATTACTGGAGTTCACCTCTAAATGATATCTTGGGAAGCATCTTCCAATACAAAGAACAATGCACCAGTTTAATTGTTGATTTGTAAAGATGCTAAGTTGAGCATCAATATTATGTGTTGCCATTCATGTTTGTGAAAATAGGTATATGTTGTAATATTAACTACACATCGGAAGAATGCCTTCTTCGTGCCAGATATTTGTGTTTTACATTGAACAATAAAATGTAAAACATTTTTACTGGCTCAGCACAATTCTTTTCTCCAGACTGATTATAAGTACACTAAACTGCAACAATAATCATTTATTTTCAGATTCACTTTTAAACTTCTGGCTCATTAGGTTATGTACAGTACCAGGTATCTTATCAATTAAATGATATTCCTTCAATCTCCTTTCAAAGGCATTATGCCTTGGTGTCCAAATAAATGGCGTTGTTCTCGTGTCATCTGTAAATCAAGTTTATTTCCATAATGGTAACTGAATCCAGGAATCTGTGCCAGTCATCTTAGCTGTTGACTGAAAAACAACAAATGAATTGGAATAAATTATATGCACTTCATGCAATTACATGTATGCAGTTTGTACTTGGTTGGGGATGATTTCATCAACAACAGAACCACAGGGTGAGCCAAAAATGCCACTTTAAAAAAAAATGCTTTAATATTTAAAGCAGATATGAAATGGTATTTTAAACCTAAAGGAATCAATATAATTTTTTGATAGATGTATTTGGACATGTTTTCTCATCAGCAGTGTGAAAACTATTTCACTCTAACGATCATTATAGCTGCTTAATAAGCAATATTCGAATTGGTTGTGACGTTATTGGCCCCCACGTGATCTCTCACTGGTCCCCACGTGGCCCATTTTAGTCCATTAGATCATGACGTCATAATGCCAAAATGTTTTGTTATTTGTTTACACAACAATCCTATGGTTGCCATGACGTTGTGATTACTATGGAACCAATAAACCAAAACTATATTTTGTATATGACGTTACTAATCACGTGGGGGCCAATTTGATTTATCGGTTAGTTTTATTTCGTTATCTATGACCGTTAGCAGTTATCTAACATTTATTTTATAATGGCTATCGCAAGAACTCTACGGTGGGCTTACAATGGAGAAAACCGCATTTTTGTAGCTGCAAGTTGAGAAAAGCTATTTCAGTTGTCCTTTAACTGTTGAACGGTAAAAACTGCTTCAAAATGGTCAATGAACGTGCGAAATGTGTTTTCTGCCCAAATAGTGTCCCATTTGTCATATGGTATGGTTTAAACTTAAATCTCTCACTGTAAGCTTTTTAAAGATCATCCAATGTGTTTCAACAATTTCCATGAATCACATTGGTAAAATTTTGCACATTATCTAATTTTAGGCATGTTTGTTAAAGTCTTGTAATTTCTTCAAAATTCAAAACTGAGAATAAAATAAGGCATCAACAGAAAATTTAGACCTTTCTTTACAAGATGTGATAATATGAGCAAATTCATGCTTTTATTAAGGAAATTATAGCCTATTGCAGGGGTTCACTTTTTTGGACCACCCTGTACATCACACCTGCATCATTGTCTTTGTTTCAAATCGGTTAAATAGTGACATCGTATAATACATCGAAAGTGTACTACGGTATATTTTGTCACTGTACCTTGTCGATGGTTAGGCGTGGCTTAATATTTTTTTTATTATTACAATCAATGTACTGTACTGTAACATATTGCCCTACATATATGATATAAACTAATATAAACTAATTGCTTTGTGCCAAAGTAATGTTTTATTTACGTGATAACAGTCTGATGCCAAATACAACACCATGTCCTTTATTCAAAGTGAATTTAGTTCACTTCGGATGTAATAATTGATTTATTCAACGGATTATTCGTCTCAAAGCAAAATGGCAAACGTGTTGCAAATAGAAAAAACATCATTGACAAATGTTGTTAATCTAAGCCTCAGTCTCATTAGTTACGGCGACCGTACTGTCTATCATGCATTTCTGCGGCTGGTATTATTCCCACGGTCACATCATAATTGGTACGGTCAAATACTTTAAGAGCGTGTTTAAATGTCACATATTCTTATAGCATAAATTCCTAAGTCATATTTGATCTCCGACAGCCGTACGGTGGTGGTTGCTTCCCAAATTTGAGAGAAATATGCAGCATAAAATATAGGAATAAGCAGTACGAAGTAGATTCTCTATACCGATTTGTTAAGCTATGGTCGCCGTACGCCCACAGTAGAGAAAATGTGACTGACTTCAAAACGGAACTTGCAGTCTATGTATGAGGAAGTGATGGACCGTGTGAAAAGAATCACTAGACGTAGAGTAGAATCGCAAAGAATAAAAGGTATTTTGAATAAATTGTGATGTAGCACTGATATGGGGCCGAACTTTGTACCTGGCAGAATGACAGAAAAACAATATAAAACGGACATGTAACAACATTATTTGTTTATCTACACAAGTCCACGCTAATTGAGATACACTGGAAAAATAAATACAAAATGATAAATAAGTTTGTAGATACAACGATTTTGTTGGTCGGTATCGTTTCCAGTGTTTCATCATCTACCCTTTTACTGGTGTGAAAAAATTATAATGTTCTTTTGAAACATGAAATACTCAATTTAGATTTTCCAAATAAGAATCGCAAAATTGAACGAAAGTTTTGAAAGTTTGAAGGGAAAATTGTAAAACCAAACCAGATATATGAATACAATTTTCTCAAAAATGTGTGTCAACGTATCCCTAGCAATCTATGAGTACAGAAAATGTTTATTTGTATAGAATGTTTATTGATTGATTCAATAATTTATCAATATCACCAGAAATAAATAAGATGTAGCAATCTGACCACAGTTTAAATAGTTCTAGATATGGTTCTTATATGACACATATTTTTTAAAATAATGGAACTTATTTCTGATCCATCAAATGGGTTTTACTGTTGATAAAATGCCGAAAAATAAAAATAACACACGAGAAGCAAAAACGATCGCCTTTTCTCAAACGTCAACTTTTCTTGAAAATCCCTCAATGAACCTCTCCTTTAGACAAGAAAATGATATTTGAATGTTTAAACGATATAATCAAACACTGATTGGGACTCATAAGTTATATATTAACAGGTACGATCATTGTTCCCATGCGATTATCGTAGAAATACTTAAGTATTTGATAACTGTAAGACAATCATATAGCAACATAAACAAAGAGTGCCAGGCAATAAGAAGGAATAAGTAATCAATTTACAATTTGATTAAATCACTTACTGTCTCGTGGCCAAAGATCAATCGTTATACTTCAAATACGACCATAACAATACACAGAACAATGTGAACATGCTCAAAAACCTACGATATATTAATTGTTTTTAAAATGACAAGATGGCCAAGCGATTTCTGATTTAAAAGAATGTCTGCGTATATCATCTAACACAATGTGACAGCGTGAGCATTCAAGGAGGATACATTTCATGCTGAATATTTCTGCAATTTTGAAGCAGATTTCGTTCGTATTTAAAAAGGTAGCTGTATCAATGCAGTTGTAAAATCTTGAATATTTAATAAAAACCAGTTTGGATTCTGCAACAGTATTTACTTTCACGAATGTGACACGCTTGAAACAATCGGAAATAATGTGACAACAATACAGTGGATAATGCGACAAAACCAGTATATCTCAACAGTTTCAGGGAAAAGATCATTTAAATGAAAGAAAATTTTTAAAAATTAATTTAAAAAATAACACGGATAATATGGCAAATTCTACCAATACCACAATTACCCAGGATCCACTTAATAGTACAACTCTAACCAATGAATCAGGAGGGACAATGACATCGGCTTCTGTGATTGGTCAAACAACAACGGTTCCGGTAATTGGTCAAACGTGTTCTCCTGACCAAATCAACAATGGCAATATTTTGTCTCAAGGTAACTCAAATCTCATCAGTTGCTAATGACGTTATTTATTTCTATTTGTTTATAATTATTTAAAATTAATGATCTGATTTTATTTATTTTTGATAATAGGGAGGTTAGGTTACACGTTTGTAAGAGAACCTGTACATGAGTGTGTAATTTTTTGACCCCTGTGGATTACTGTCCCGCTCTCAATTCACTTTTCCAGGGACCTAATTACAATTATTTTCCGTATACCTCAATCGGCCAATGAAACAGGACAAATGGGAGAACTAATTCACAGAGGACCATAATTCTACACGTTGTTATAAAGAACGTATATCTTAGCCTCCTTTATATGTTTAGATACGCCTTCATTTCGTAGATTTCGAAACGGTTATAAACAGATAAGCACATTTGAATGTGACATAGGCTAAACAATATTGATTTAGAAAGAAAAAACAAGTTGACAGACAACCCTCGTATGTAATAACTCATAATCATGCTGATATAAAAAACTCATTAGTAACATGCTCAGATATATGTATTTCAAGATGATGCACATTCTAAATTCTGTCTCCAGAAAACACGATATTCTTTATCAATAAATGTTGACAGGTCCCTATAATGCTGGCTCTCGGGTTATTTATTCCTGCAACAATGGCTTTTATATGGATGGGGGACCTGTCATGCTGTGTCAGAGTGATGGAAAATTAAATGGAACAACCCCGAACTGTCAACAACTACCAACAAGCAATGCCCAACAAGGTATTAAGGGTTGTCTACAAGGAGGATTGGGAGCCATTATTCGATCTTTCATTGCCTGGCGTGTGCCAATTTGGTAACACTCATACCGATATGTTGAAGACCAGCACTGCCATGTAGTTTCAATATTACCATATATCACATTCTTGCGAAATACTTGGTCCAAAAATGACTATATCGAAATATTATTACTAAATTTCCCCATGTCAGGCAACAGAAGATGAGTTTATAATAGCTCTCGATCCTTCTTGGTTATTTGTGATAAGAACCAGTGAACTATTTGGCCACGTGTCAAATATTATGTTTGCCGAGTTTTTCTTAATTTTTTCATAACTTTCATATTTTTTATAATTGAAGTAAAAATCAAAAACATTTGAAGAGCAGTGTACTGTATAAGTGGTAATTTTGCCTAATCATTTAATTTGCCTATTTTCTAATTTTTGCCAGGTTCGGAAAATTAAATGTCGGAAATATTGTCTTTATAATGTTATCCAATGGAAGGTTTCTTGTCATTAGGAAAATTAAAATTAGGAAAATGATGAAATTTGACCATTCGGAAAACTAACCACGCGGATTAAATACCACTTATACAGTATTATTCATCTGTTTGAAGTTTTTTCGATTGAGAATAACCAAGCCAAGTAAAGAACGTAAATCATTTCATTCGTCAAGTAAAACATTTAAAATCAATTTTGTAACCATTTTCAGATTTTTAAATTCAATACCATGGATGAAATGACGTAACAGTGAGAGAATATTTGACTTGAAAACTTTGCGGAAATTTCTTTTCAAGACCTAGGGTTGTTTATTTGAATAAAAAATATTTATCTATTACTTATATATATATTTCAGTTCCCGATTGGGTGACTTGGTTTGTTTTCGGAGCTTCAATTGCTTTGGTAATCCTCCTAATTGTTGTGGTAATCCTGTTGGTTTGTTTGCTGAAACAAAGGTACGTTCCACCCATTGGAAAATGTTACAAAATGTGTTTAATGTGCAATAAAATCATTGTGCGTATTATCTATCCTGAGAAAAAGATTAAAACTCAGCAACGTAAAATTAAAGATTCTGATCAAAGAAAATCCTGCACAAAAATATCTTCATATCATCATCACATTTTAATTTGACTTAATTAGTAATCCACAGTCATTCAGCGTGCAATGTCCATGGCCATAATTTCCCTACATTTTTATAAACCCAACAAATATTTTTCCGACAATCATTGTTTGACCTACCCTAGCCTTTGGGGGTGTTTCGATAAAAACATAATCTTAATGTCATGGTTATATATCTTTATTACAGACGCTCCAAAGTAATAAAAGTTGAACCTGCTCCTGAAATTCCCTCGGAAAAACCGAAATCCGCTGAAAAATCTCCAAATATTATCAACAACAACAACAAAGAAAACAACAACATGAGCAAGGACCAACAAATAGAACAACAAAAACAAGATGAAATTGAACAAATAAACTACCAGAATTCAGAAGAGAAAATTCAGCCGGCCCAAGTCCAAGGTTCTAGCGTGCCTGCCTACACTGAAGCTGACCCTCGGAGATCTGTTTGGGATGGACCCGTGCCGCAATATGACCCTCGGAGGCATCCTGCGGAGGGATATCTGTTTCCAGCGAACGGGCGGGTTTATAACTCATACGTTTCAGAACTAGAGCAAAAACGACGCAGATCAGCTCTCAATGACATTTAAATCATTCGAGTTTATTTTGTATATTTACCATGACAAAACAGACAAAATACATGTATATCTCTCAAAATAGACCGATCAAATGAATCATGCCATATGTTGGTTATGACTTCATTCTTACTGTGCCGTTGTACTTGTAATTGGATTGAAACGTATTCACGCTATTATAGCATAACGGTTACGCCACCTCTGAAAACGAGGTTCAATGTTTATCCAATAAAATGGCCACGATGGAACAGAAAACTTAGGTTGGTGCACTATTTTCTACTACTGTGTATCAATGGAATGATGAACGATTTATGTAAGCGTCGCATTCGGTGATGCATTCAGTAATGTATATTTTGAAAGTAATTTGTTTATTTTTGTCGTTAGGGCATGGTAAACATTGCCTAACAACCTTGGGGTATAAAGATGTAACTACATACGATCATACAAAGCCAATTGAGCATTGGAAACCCCCTAATATGTTCTACTCTAGCCATGATACTGTATAAGTGGTATTCAATCCGATTGGTTAATTTTCCGAATGGTCAAATTTCATCATTTTCCTAATTTTAATTTTCCTAATGACAAGAAACCTCCCATTGGATAACATTATAAAGACAATATTTCCGACATTTAATTTTCCGAACCTGGCAAAAATTAGGAAATAGGCAAATTAAATGATTAGGCAAAATTACCACTGATGACGTAAATAAAGCAAGCCACTTAATTTTTTCCTTGCCCTATAGAGGCTCAAACAAGAGCGTCTCTTGCGAGTCCTGAAAACAAATATAGGCAATTCAATATTCCATTTCTTACCCATTATAACATAACATGGAAAGAGGCTATCATGTCATATACCATTAGCCATGGGGTTTAAGAAGCGTTTCTCAAAATATTTTTATTACCCTTTAAACAATTACTTGATTGTGCATCAAAACGTAAATATACTCTTAAATTGCTGGTGTCGATGATGGTGCATATATAGGCTTACATTGATTCATGTTTCAAAATTAATTTTGAGTTTTAAAGATAAACTAATGTATTAAGTTTGAATTATTTAATCACATGAACAAAAATAAATTGCAATAGTTGTTGTTTATCTTAACAAGAGAATTTTATTAAGATAATCATTGAAATACATTGTTTTGAGTTTCCCTAAAGATAATTAATTTCAAGATTTTGTTTTCTAAGCTAAATAATATGCCAAGTCAATTCCTCGATCGACAAAATGAATGTACAAATTAGACACACATGTCTTCTTACATCAAAATACAACATTGTTACGAATAGGTCAATCACTCCTCCTTGTGATATTAAGTATTATTTAACAGTGTCGCTGATGGTCGCTTAGGTTTTTAAACAATAACGTTTACATAATTTACACATTTAAGGTTGTCTTTTATTGCAATTAAAGCATGTAAATATTTCTCCAATGAGTATCCCCTTTACACGAGAACAATTCCCGGAATCATGAAACCAGTCGGGGCATTTTGAGCACTTGATCGAGTCGAACTGCGATTGTAAATACGAATAATAGTTGACACCGCATGCCTTGCAAATATTTACAGTGTCTGTTCTTTTTATCGGGACTTTCCTTTTCTTCGCGGAAACAATTGTGTCTGAAGACTTTGAACTTGTAGATGGGGTTACTAAAGGCCGACGCTTCAATGTGGTTGAAAGAGTGGAAACGTCGGAGGGCGTCGATGCTTTACTTGACGTACTGGGTGTCGGGTGTGCTCGTCGTGTGGTCCGTTTTGGTTTTAAAGATGGTTGCTCGGTGACCACCTTAGCTGCCTGCTGGGTCTTCCTAACGGTTATAAGGTTGTTCCTTTGCCAACCACAGGGTGAGGATGACGTATATGTTTTGCATGCGTCACAATAGCACGATAATTCTCGCGTTTCAACAATATTATCGGAAACCCCTCTCACATCATTGATTCGAAAGGTACCTGGTAGGCCTACTGGTTTAAGTCCAGTCGCCCTATCTTCAATGTTTTAAAAATGCGTTCTGGGATTTCTTGGATTTCATTTGTGTCCTGGCAGTTTCACTTTGAGACTCTGAGCGTTCCCTTCAGTCTGGCGTGTTTTTGATTGTTTCTCCTTGCGTATGCGTGCCCTGTATTCCCGGGATGCCTTGTTGTTCTTTTCTCTGATCCGTTGAAGAGCTTCAGCAGACAGGTTATTTCTCGGTGTATACGATGCTCGCTGTCGCAATCGTTCTTGCTCTAAGTAGCCTTTGGTATCTTTCTTTTTCTTTCTCTCCCTGTACTGTAGTCTGTAGGGAACGACGACACTTCTCGGCGTTGGTGAGTTCCATATTCTTATATCATCAGAAAGGTCTGATAAGTAACATAGATATATTAATGAGAGTGTGGGAAGTTATGCACATTAATAAAATGTCACAAAACTGATTATCCCAATGAAATATTTATTGTTTTACAATAATGGCAAGAAATACATTTCGTCTAATGGTACACTCAACGAAACGTTTATAAATTAAGAAATATCGGGGAATGTGCATCTATTTTTGTCAGTGATTTTATAAAACTATGAACTGCTCAATCATCCCAATTCTTGTGTCACATTACCATAGGATTTCAAAACAAACAGAATATGCATCATAAGTAAATAACATGATCTGCTTAAAGATATGCTATACAGATATGTAGGTCAGTATTACATAATCGTGAAATGAATAAGTCTGAATATATCATTGGTCAGAAAACACTAAAACCTGCGTGAAACTGTAAAAGTTTATACACTCTATTCCACACTGTATAGAAATAAAATAACTTACACTATAAGTAACTGTGAGCCAATCATTGCATAGAAAAAACGTTATGCACTGTTTATAAGATTCACTGAGACAAGTGGGTCAATACTTCATGTACTTTATGTGCTCTCACACAATTACCTTCCCTTGCATAAAGTTGCTGTACAGTTATATGTAACTGAATATTGTATATTCATCACAAACAACCTTAGCAAAATGATGGTTCGACGAAATGGACGGTTCGCTAAAACCAATAAATCAGGCAATCCAGGCCAATTTGGAAAGAAACTAGATAGCGTGATAGCGAATGAGGATAGTAAGTGAAATATATTTTGCAAAGGTCAGCTTGTAAACTACTGTGTAACCCTAAATGATGAGAAATATGTACAAAATATGTTTTGCATGATTTATTCATATCCCAATGATTTAACTCATTCACTGCATCTAATAAGTTTTGCAGTTGATGCCATAACTTAAAGGAAAATAGGACTTTTACAATGACACCATTGGTTTCTATTGATTATCACACAAATACCAAAAATACACTATGACCTGAATCTATTGCAAACTTAATAATATGGCACTAATGGTTTATCTCATCAAATGTGCAAATATGAAGTTTGCAATCGATTCAGGTCATACTTAAAGAGAGAATCAGAGATAGCGAGCAGCCTAACAAAAAACTGTTTCAATTTTAAAATATTTCTGGCTTATGTCATTCCTTTTCATGTCTATTTTCTAAAAATTTCCAAAGTGCACAATTTATTTCAGGAAAACTAAAGATTTTTTACAGTAATGTGTAATTTTTCTTATAAGAATGGTTACCATTCTTATTATTTGGGAGAATTTAAACATTTTTCACCCATTTTTGCACCTTGAATCCATTATAACTTCACCAATTTATAATATATCTAAGATCTTTTGGGAGATATTGTATTTGAGATTGTGAGGAATCGATTGGTAGGTCAATTGGACATGTTGCTTGTAATTTTGTCACCCCCATAGATCTGATTCTGCCTTTAAAATTAAAAGATTGTACATTTTTTCATCATTTTTTCCCTACAAAATGGCTATAGAAAAATGCTCCAAAAACAACTTTTACACTTATCAAAAATCATACAACTTTGTAAAACCAAAGAATATACTATTTTATTTCATTATGTAGTAACATATTTGGATAAGATGTAGGGATGCGTAGGATGCAAATGGATTTTGACAGACACAAAAATACTTCCTGGTTTGGAATAATATGCCTCTACACTTCATGATTGAATTATGACCTTAATAAGTGGCCTATACATCAATACAGTGCTGAATATAGGTCAACAAGATACTAGTGTGCATATAAATGTAATAATTAAAGCAGAATACTCATTTTGAAAAATCAGATGAATTATTTTTTTCTCATGGGGGGATCCCAATGGAGGGTGTATAAGGTCCTTTGGGACCTCAATTTTGATTGGTTCTTGAGAGATGGTTGCTAAGGTAACCAGAGTGGTGGGTACCATGTTCAACCCGAAATTATGTTTTTCCAAATAGTTTTCTTGCTTGAATAAACTCTTTGCAAAGTGGCAATTAGCAGGTGTAAGTGTCTTTGGATGGCTATTTTTCTTCAAATTCTTCAATATTTTGCCAGCTGTCAACACATTCTGGCAATGCTTTAATTTTAATAGAATTATTTTAATATTTTACTAACTGTATAATATGTAGATTGCATTACTGTTGATAAATAAATAAATGATTGCACTGTTCAGTAAAGAAATATACCAATTGTATTATTTAAACTGACTATTAACTATAGAAATGATTTTCATTGAAAAATCAAATCAGTACCAAAATTATGGTTACCCTGTAGTAGTGAAAGGCACATGAAAAATGAATATCACCCCCTTCAATCTATTTTTACAGGTTTTTATGATTATTTCTGATTTTTCTATAGTTTGCGTAACCAGGACGGTGAATTTTCTTCATTTTTCATCAAACATTTTGTCTTACCAATATTTATTATATCTGTCAATGTTATCAAAATCGCGCCGCTACGTTTGAAAATAATTCAAATTATGTAGTTTTTCCCATTGAGCTCCATTATAAAAATGGAATTTTCAAACTTAATATTTTAAAATTCTACGCGGTGAAAAGTTGCATATTGAGTAGTTAGTTAATGTTATGGTGTTAAAAATTCAAAACAGGAATAAAGAAAAAATGCCACAGAGAAGTCTCAATAGAGTCTCTTTAATAGATTCAATTTTACT